ATTGAAAACATTTTAATTGTAGAATTCTATACAAACTTGGATAAATACAGAAGTGTTCACGACAAAATGTGTTCTTATTGCCTGAAATTTTTCACAGAAATAGAAACATTGATGGCAAGCTTACTGACATCCAACACGATATCTTTAAACTTGCAAAATGGACAGACACAGCGGCACTCCTAAGTAGTGTGTATGGGTTTGACTGTCCTTGAAGTCCTACCACTTACATACCAACCTTAAGATACAAAGAACCTAAATTAAAATTTTTAATGCACATCACATAATAATGTAAAATAAAGTACACACACACACACAAAGTAAACAAAGCGTCATCCTGAAAAGACACTATTTACTTTTTTCTTTTACCTAGGGCAGACTTATTCTGAGAATGATTTCCTGTATAGTTGTGTTGTAAGTGAGCCACACATTTTGTTTTCTGCACGGGACATCAATATTCGATGGAGATACAAGAACAAATGGCAACGAACAAAAGGGGAGGAAACATAATCACAAGTGGAACTCAAACTCCATGCCAGTGTTCTTGCAGCCCTAAGCAAAGCTATACATTAAAATATGCTACAACCTTTGTTCTCAAAGAGTCCTTGGCACTTTTCCTTTGATAATCTTACTTTCAGTATTTTAAAAAGTGAGCAAATCACACTTCTGCGCCTATGTCATAAGGCAAAACTATAAACGCAACTACAAGGACGAGTTACCAAAAGAATCCTGAACCGTAGACAGCCCCCACCCTCAAACCACCACCCCAGCATCCCAAACACGTGGTGAGACACTATCATCCTTCTTCTTCATCACTGTCTTTCATCGTAATGCCCTGAAGTCCTCCCGCGTCTGTGACTGAGACGGTGGCTTCCTCCACGGTCAGACGGCTGTGGACAGTGTCATAGGTTTTACTGTTCAGCGTTCCTTCCATCACACCTTGCAATCTGAAGTCTCGGTAGGTTTTCTGTGGCAGAAATAAAACATCCTGAATTGGATGAGGAATCTTCTACTGCACACTGGTGAAGCATGCCAGCAGAGTAATGCCGTTCCTCCCTCATTTATGGATCTATCATGTAGAGCTTGCAAAAGATGTGTGTTGTTTTAGCTTCTGCACTGTGTGAGGTTTCTATAAGCTTAACTTAAATTAAAAAATCACAGAATCATAGAATGGCTTGGGTTGGAAGGAACCTTTAAGATGACCAGCTCCACCCTGCTGCTATAGGCAAGGACACCTCCCTCTAGACCATGTTTTATATTAGTTTGAACTCTGTGAAAAGGATAGACTCAAAGTGACTTACTCAACTTGAAAATGCAGCAGCCAGTGACAGTGACTCTGGATCCACAGAAAACAATTCCAGCTACAACAAATCATCAACATTCTTCAAAGAACTCCGCTATTTGACAAGTTTTGCTTGAGTGCTCAAGCCAATGGTCAACAATATGACAATGTTGTCTTTTTTTTTTTTTTTTTTTTTTTAATTCTTGGAAAATGTTTGTCATCTTCTGTCTGTTGAGCGCCATTTTGGGAAACAGAAATCTTTCTTGGGCATCAGTTTCTGCCTACATACTCAAGTCCTCCATGGACACTTTCTACATATTTGTCTATCAATGGTGCTGCCTTTGCTAATGACAACAGCAGAAATACTGCCAATGGGCTCATAGCATAACATTTTGCAGGCATAACTTTGCATAAAATCATATCAGGGTAAACAAGACCACTTTGTTTCACCCTAACAACACAAGGAGTCCTCAAGCCACACTTGGATGGTAATTTGTTTAGGAGACTGTGTTTTGTACTATGGTCCTATAATTGTATGCAGACCTCTCAGTAACTCCCTTTTGTCTAATTTATACAATAAGAAGCCAATCAAGAAGCTTTCTCACTGCATACTGCAATGTGAACCTGTCTACAGGTGGTTCTGTCATTTTACAGTAAATGTAGAAGTCTGACTTTCCTCAAACTATAACTCCACTTGCATTTATCTCTACATTTATGCACCAAAGGTAGAGAAATAAATTAAATCTTAGGTTATAATCTATATTCTCTATATTCTAAGATGTAAAAGTTTCTCAGGTGCCTACTGCAATCAATGTTAATTTATATTAATTTACAATGTTAATTTACTCACCTACAGTTTGAGACTCGTCTACATCTTTTTTTTTTTTTGCCATTTGGCAAATTTTTGTTTCCTTGGTAAGCAGCCTTCCTACGAACCAGCAGGTATGACATTTTTGTTTGATTATTCAGTGAGTGTTGGGAATAAAATGGTTGTATTTACTGATTATATATTCAAGTAAGCACATGGAGATCCACCTACTCTACCTTCTTGTTTTGTTATCAGTAATATGTTTGTAACAACCTTTCCCAAGTTACCCTACAAAGCTTAAGAAGGATAAGCCTTTTACAATATGAGTCCTCAGTGTGTATGGAAGAGACTACAGGGAAAAGAAAACGGAAAACAATTAAGAGCTATCAGGCCAATTCCTCTGCTGGAAGAGGTTGTGCACAACTCCTAGAAAAAAAGAAAGGAGAAAAAAGCTGATCTTGTTTCACTCCATACTTCAAAGAACTGCAAAAGACGCCTCTCAAAATGGGTAGCGTTCAGCTGGGAGAATTTTTTTTTCTTCTGCCGCTATATCTATGATGATTATTTAAACCTTGTCTGAATCACTGAAACTGAGATTTATTTGACTTTCTCAGGTCAGCTTCAGAGTCAATGGATGCAGCTTATGTTTTGCTCGCACACTTCTATGAGTACTCTGCCTGGTCTTTTTCAAGTGCCACCATTGCAGTCCCTTTTTGTAACACTGAACATTCAATTTCCTTTTATGCTGTTAACAAGTCCTACAACAATTTCTTTCTGTTTTACAATGTATTCCTCCCATTCTTAGGCCAGCACTCTTGGGTTCAGTCATTGCTCTTCTCTTGACATACTTTTGCAGGATAATAATGTTCACTTACAAGTTTAATTTTTCATTTCTTCCCAACTTTTCTCTTGGTCCTTGACCTTTCTTTAGTCATGTCCTTCTGCATGTGTCTCAGACACCTAAAGATGCCTTTATGCAGCATCCCTCCATCTTGGATCTAATGAGAATGAGCAGTTTTTCTCTGGCCACTCTTAACGATGCCACCACCTTCACTGTGTCCAAACACGGAACAATCACCCACCATTTCTTGACCTTAAGAATGACTTTCTACTTTTTTTTTTTTTTTTTTTAAGTTATTATTTTTAAAAGTTTAAATATTTTCAAGAGCTGCTGAGACAACACAGACTACCAATTTTGCCAAAGGCAAACAGAGTAATGCCTCCATTTGCTCGATGGTTTGGAAGAATGCTGCCTGTCCTGATTGAGGCTGCTCCATTGAAAGCTTCTTACTGTACACTGCTTGTTTCCCAGTGGCCTCTGCACTGGGTTAGTTCTTCCAGTTCTGCTACCTTCCACAGGCAGTCAAGGCTTTCTACCTTCCAGTACATTGACCAGAACACCGTCTACAAACTAACATCACTTTCTTCAACCTCCTGTATCTGCAGGTAGTGCTATGGAATAAGACACATGGAACATACATGCAAAGTAAACATGCATATAGGCACAGAAAGGCTACTGCTGCAGCCACTGTGATCCCACTGCCACTGGAAGCATGCTTCATGTGAATGAAGCTAACCTGTGTGCCAGGCACAGAACCCAGGTCAGCTGCCTGTGCTGCTCATTTATCTCTACTTTACAATTAATGACTAATTATTTTCCTTTAAACTCTCAAGTTATATTTTACTGGTGTGCTTGAATCTGCTCATCTCACTGGGCACAGCTTGTTTCCTGCCACTTGAAAAGAGCCTTATACCTTTCATAAAAGCCATTAATTCCAGCCACAAACAGCAAACTGCTTTTGCCACCTTGGCATGCAATAAAATGAAGAGCCAAATCCTATTCCCAGGGATATTCGTCAAAGTCAGAAACAGCAAAGCTGAGCTTGGGTGGCTCAGGGAGGCATAATATTATCATGACTCTTTTCTTTTTTATCTTTTCTTTTTCTCCTTTTTCTTCTTCATCATCGTCATCTCTTCCTCCTCCTCCTCCTTCTTTAAAACAAGTGAATAGTGAAAATTCCAGCTGCAATGCTAGTGCTTACAGGTCAAAATTCTCCCAATTTAACAGTCTTGCATGAACTTCTCTAGAAAATCATTTGGAGAAATGGAGGGTGTCACTGACAGTAGGCACTTCTTATTGCACATTCACACACATAACAAGGATGTTCAGATTTAAACAAGACAGAACCTCCTAGGAAAAAGTTCTGAAATGGCTTTCTCTCTCTTTCCTAAGGGTATTCAGTAATATATTTAAAAGTGAGTTACAAAGGAACTTTCTTTTATGGTAAGGTAGCCCATAATTGCCCACTGCAAACTCTTTTGCACTTCACTCGGAAAAATTTTGCATTGGCCGGTGTAAGTGACAAGATTGGACTGGAGGAACTGGTATTTCAACTGATACTGATGCCAGAGCATGAAAGATGAGAAAATGGCATCTAACATATTGAATATTGTTTTTCATTTGAACCTAGCAATCACGTGTGCCTAAGAAAAAGAATGGTTATTTTTTCAGAGTGCAGAAAAAAATGGAGAAAAACAGCTTTTGTGATTATTACAGTAAAATAACAAAAAAACAACAACAAAAAAATCAGTACAAACAATGATTTATTAAGAATTCTGGATAGTATTACTGAACAGCTAGCAGAAACCTATTAACATTCACTGGAATTGTCACTGAGGCCAGAATGGTTGAAAATTCTTAGCGCACATAAAAACTAACATTAGAAGTTTTAATAAAATGTTTTTCTCCTCAAATTTGTATCAACTGTGGGGGAAAAAATGGCAAAACTACAAAAATCAATGGCTCTATTTCACAATTTTCAACTTTTCGGGTGACCCAATATATCCTTGCTAATGCCTCACTTCAGTCAGTGTAACTCAAATACATTTCATTTACCTTAACGATCTTGATGAGAGTCTTCAGCTGGTAGATGTGAAGCTGAAGGTCTAATCTATCAGCCAACCACATGCATATGACCTTCATGGAGCTGCTATACCATTGCTGAAAAAGAGGATTAAAAAAAAAAAACAAACAAAAACACTAAACAACCCTGAATTATTCATTTAACAGATTTGGTAATGAGAGGTAATGAAACACTTTGAAATGATCACAGATCAGCACTCGAAGTCAACAATCATATAATTTCCCATTAAGAGAATTGCGTGGGTCAGCAAGAAATCAAATAACTTGACCCAGACTGTTCTTTGCATGAATTAGCAACTGCTATTTTATTTTTCAGCTAGAATATTTTCACGCAAAATAGTGTTATGTGCTCAGCTATCTGTCAGTGAGAATGGGCATTAAGTACACACTTATATGAGCTAAATAGCAAGGGGAAAACGGGTAGGTTGACATCCTGGGGAAGATTTTGCTACACTTAGATTTTCTGATACAAACCAGAAAACAGCATCAAACAGAATAATGACTCTGATTTCTTCAACATCTTTTATTATGGAATGCTTTCAGAAATACGCGGAAATTGTATTTATGTGGGGTCAAAACAACACTTCATCCCTCTCAAGATCAGCACATTCTGGTTTTGTTTCATGTTAATCACTGATTATAAAAGCAGCCTACCTTATTTCCTTTTCATATCGAAGGCATGGGCATGTTTTCACTGAAAGCTCCACAAATGGCTGTGGCAAGAATGAGCTCTGCTGCTGGTGTCTATGTTACCGCAAAAAAATGCTCAGCTCTAAATAGCTACTATAGAAGTTCTTCCCCATTAACTGGATTACAAGAGATTTTACTAAACTTAGTTGCAGCCATTTGCCTCCCCCTCCTGTAAAATACCAACCAGATGTCATTTAGTCAAACTGTAAAAAGAAAGGGTTTTTTTTTTTCATTTTAGCAGTGAGATTAGAAGAGTTTGTGTAGTAGCTCGGTTTCTACTCACATTCCCCACAGGGAAGAGGCTTATGTCCTTTTCTAATGTGATTTCCCGTGTCTTTAGAAAAAACATAGGTATGCAAAAAAGAGGAGATTTGACATTCTAAAACACAGCCTTTTTACAAGGTATGCAAAATAATTAAAAAGGAGGCTCTCACATGTCTCGTTGGCCATTTCTACACTCATGAATAAAATAAAATACGTAAGGAAAACAGGGAAGATAAATCACTTGTACAGGAAGTAACAGAAAATAAAACTAGAATTCTTTAATCAAAAGAAAAGCTGCCTGGGAAAAGTTTTAAATACCGTAAGCACGTATAAATACTTTTTCTTTACTGGAAACAAAGTCTCATTTCATTGTAGCCATCAGCTTTAGGGTAAGTTTGCAATAAGAAAGAAGATTTTCATGTAATATTGACTTCCATTTCTATTTAATGTGTTCAAATAAATTTTAATTACCAACCAACGGAAATAAATTATGTTTTCTCCAATTTATTTACTGTCATGGCATTGAAGTGAGCAAACACGCCATACACACCTTTAGCATCAGACTGCACATTTCATAAAAGTGATTTGTTTTAATAAGTAAAATATGGAACCGATATGTATAATATTGGCTTTTAATCCCTGTTGGGCATTCTCATACGATTTGTATTATTTCACTGGTTACATGCATGCTTGTTTTGCTTTCCTTCATATGTACCTGCAAAATATTTTTAACGTGTCAGAGTTGTTAGGAAGTGGCAGCTCTGAGATGACAGGTGTTGTGCGCATACAGATGTCTGGAAAACAATATACAGTTGAGCTGATTCACTCCATGAACTCTATTGATCTAATCAACATGAGAATTTGTATACCAAGCATTCCACCTTTGTCTGCAAAAAGCTGAGGCCCAACTATTATATTATCACTAAGACTCTAGAGTCGTTAATAATAATCAATGCAGAGAGGATGATTTTACTAGTAGTGTTTTCTCAGCAATGATATTCTTCTATAAAAAAAACCCAACAAAATAAGAAATCCAATAACAGCTACAGTGTGTTTTGCAGCAAATGAGTGGTGGAAAGCAGAAGAGATGGAAGTTGCTCATACGATCAAACTCCAGGCAGGGCTGAAAATCCCATCACCGGTTGCCCCCACTGACGCATCACTGAGCACAGAGCCAGGCCCCGTTTCCTGGCTAAATGCGTTTTAAAGCCCAGCCAGATAACTTAATTGAGACTGATGCAGTTCAAATTAGACTCTCCATATATATCTGTGATATACTTCCTTGTGCCGAGAAGAAAGCTAAGAAACTGGAGGGGAGTAATTTTGCTTCTCAAATTTGTGAGTTAGATAACATAGCACGTTTTCCTGACTACTCTTAGTATATTAAACTGTGAGTAAAAACGGTTAATTCAATGATCGTGAAGTGATACTATGGTACATTGCTCCTCTGAGCACATACACTGCACAGAAAAAAGAAAATAAGAATTGTTAGAAAAATACTCTTATTTTGAAGACTAATTTTAAATAAAAATCCAATCAAGAGTATTTTCTGTGTTCTCCTAGAAAGAGGAACTTGTGGTCAGAATTCCCATTCACTACTGCCTTATACCTCTGAGTGTTGTGCACACAGGCAGACCGAAGCTGCAGGAGCATACATCTGCTGCACTCCCTAAGAAAAGAAGGTAAATATCTCACTGTTACTTCTGTTGGAGTCTGCTAAAACACACAGCACTGGCAATGTCTCTCAGAGGTGGACTCCAAGGGTGCGCATTCTGACAACCTTGAGACAACCTCTGACAACGTCTGAGAGGCAGGGGTGCATCCATGGAAGTCTATTGCAAACTCACAGGGCTCGGCACTCTGACAATGGACCTTTACTACGCTGTTTTTAAGTAGTAACAATTGAAAAAAATCCTTCCAGATGGTTTTAAGGAAAAAAAAAGTCACTTTTTTGCTAATAGCAATAGCAGTGGAAGGGCAGGAGGACGCTGGCAGGTACCAATGATACAGCACTGGTACCATATTTTTTGCAAAAAGTGTGTGTTATACAATTTTTGCACATCGGCACATAGCAGCGGCCAACCACTTTAACAAAAATATGTTTGCCTCCCCGTTCCCCTCCTCCTTTTATTCATAGCTCATCCGGCTCCTGTAAGGGCATGCATTACTCTCTTCATTTTCCTGAGATACCTCTTTTGAAGTAAAAAATAAGAGAAAAGGAAAGGCTAGGGTTGACTCTGTGAGACCCCTGTATTTATTCACACTTATTGTGCATGACTGTAGACTGGTAAATCATATTAGCAGCCCGTCTCCCCATCAAGCTGCTACTTGCTTTCCAGCCCTGGGAAGGTTCAACAAATCAACAGGAGCACGGAAAACAGAACATCAGTCTAATCTAGTGTTTAAGGTGAAGTTTTCAAACCCAATCTAAGAAGATCTTTAGAGCAAGCAACAAGCTGAAGGGCTCAGAAGGTGGTATTGACAATGAAAGAGTGCTGAAATATTGAGAAGCGCAGCACTTGTGCATTTTTAATAACAAGAGGGTCAACAAGGACACAGCTCCCTCAGTGCCAATAGTTGCCACACCAGGGCTATAAACGCTCTCAGTTCATCAGATTTCTTAAACAGTTCATCAGCTTTCTTAAACACCCTAAACCCCCTCGGCGGACCTTTAGTCTTAAATTAACAAACCAAAGCAATGAAAGAGGGTGCAGCTTGAATGGCCAGCATTGATCCCCAACGGGGCTCGGCACGGCTACAGGCACTGAAAAACTCTCCCCATTGTGGGGAGGGATTGACAAACCTCCTGGCCTAAATAGTCCAGCTGAGGCAGGCTGGAGGCACGCAGCTGTAAAGGGCTCCCCGCGCCCCGCTCCCGCGCTCACAATGCGCCGGGCAGGAGCTCTTTGTCCAGCCCAGACTCTGCAATTTTCTAACAAGGATTAAAGTTGTTTCTCGGCAGGGCCGGTGAAAGGCGATTTAGCAACATACCGTGCTTTCTTCAGGCGAGTTAAAGAGAAGTAGTTAAGGAATTTCTTTATACTGTTGACTGGTTGAAACACAAAACAAATATATTCAATATTCACCATCTTTCCGGGTGCCTGAGCTATCACGTCTGCAGAACGCTTCAATTAAATATAACACTTCTCGGCTGAAAGCAAGCACTTCAGATTTATTTTTGAAGTTTGATAAAAAGGTACAGCTGTTTGCCACCTGGAAGGAGGCTCAATAGGTACCAACACACAATGCCTCGCTCCTCCTAGGCCTGGTATTCCTAGCATCTGATACACAGGACCCCATTCAGCTCCTCTATCTTAGCTGTTCTTGATAAATGGGAACTGTTGAAATGCTTTTTCTGCTGAATATGGCAGGGGAACAGCTTTTCTAGGAACCACATTTTATCTTCCTTCCAAAGCCTTTACCTCATTCTGTTTGGAACTGAGTTGCTGAAGTGACAATGGGATGTTTTTACTTCCTCTGCTCTACATTTCCTCCAAGGAACAACAACCACGTATTCTTGCTGAAGAGACTGCACTTCAAAGGCAGTACAAGCTACAACACGGAAGATATATTTTAAGCAAGCAAAATTTAAGTGCTTAAACTCCTGTGGCCATAGTTCTATAGCATTTTTACCAACTTTTTAACAGTTAGCAATAATAGCATATCAAGCAACATTACAACATTTAAAAATTGTTACTCTATTTAGGAATAGATAACTTATTCCTTTGAAATGCAAACAGCAAAAGTCAGAAACAAGTTCCTAATTTAAGATTCAAAATTTATTTCCCTCTTTGCAAGCTATGAACAATCACACTGATGTCCTTTGTTAGGTGCTAATGCTAATGAGTGAAACCAACTTTATTTATAGTGCCTTTGAAAACACTCCGAGGTTTAGAAGTTACAGCTGTATTTTCAAGTCTATGTATAACCATCATCCACATAACTGAGGATTTTCATCTGAACACTGAAGAGCTCACAGAGTGTCCTGCAAAAAAACTGGGGAACGACACATCAGAAAGTGCTCTGCAAAATGGCTGCATCTTTTAAATACATCCAGGAACAACACAACAAGAAATAAAGTCAGAAGTAGGAGCTAACATTCAAAATATCTTTGAATTTATACAGAAATTAAATATATTTAGTTGTTAAGTAAGAACAACAACAAAGCAATTTTGCACAAGGTGTTACTGCTCTTCCCTCAGGTTTAAGCAGCCTGTTGATTAGAAAGCCCGAGAAACCACAGAAGGCTGAGGCAACTAAAGGTAGACAGACAAAAGAAATCACATATTTGCATCTAGAAATTTTGCTTGTACTCTATTCTCACCCCATCGATTCAAATTCTCAAAACAGATGATTTCTGAACTTGTTAAAATAACCATTTTTTTTTTCTTCTGGAGAGACCAGAACTTGTTGACTTGATGCAGTACCTTCCCAAAATCCCTTGTGTGTCATCAGTGATAGGACCAGGGGGAATGGTTTCAAGCTACGGCAGGGGAGATTCAGGCTGGACATGAGGAAGTATTACTTTTCAGAAAGGGTGGTCAGGCACTGGAACGGACTGCCCAGGGAGGTGGTGGAGTCACCGAGCCTGGGGGTGTTCAAGGAAAGACTGGATGTTGTGTTGAGGGACATGGTTTAGTGGGAGCTGTTGGGAATAGGTGAACGGTTGGACTGGGTGATCTTTTAGGTCTTTTCCAACCTTGGTGATTCTGTGATTTTACTGGGAGGAACAAATTGCTTCCCCAATGATTTTTTTTTGCTGGGTTGCACTGGTTGTAAACATGGCTCAGTCTGTGAGGCACTTTCAGTTTCATTTCCAACGAGGAGTACTGTTTCAGTGATCAGGAAATTGAAAGAACAGAAGTTGGGAAACCCCAGAGAAGAAAAAGGTCTCAGACTAGAGCTTTCCTGCTCTGCTATCAGCTCCAGGTGGCTTCATGGTGCCAGCCAATGCCCTTCAGCAACAGCCCCTCCAGCTCTGTAAGAACGTGACTTCTTACAACACAAAATGTTGAGTTAGGTATAATTCTGAGCATCCTCATAGTTTATGGTACCATCCCTGAAAAAACCTGAAAGCTCAGAATTTTGCCTCTCTGGGAGTCCTGTGCAAGATGGTTGTTTTTTTTTTTTTTCTTTTTTTTCTTTTTTCTTTTTCCCAGTGTTTCAACATTATTATAATAAATATGGGGAGAAAGCTGACATTACAACTGTGCAGAATCAGAATTCTATCTCCAGCTCATGAACAATGCTCAAGCACTTCTTCACCTACACTTCTTGTACATTTATTATATCCGGGACACATTTGTTTTATTATTTACAGTATTTAAAATATTTGTAATCAACACAAATATTGAAACTTAAATGCATTCTTTCATCAAACAACAATATATCCTCTAATTTGCAGGCATCAAATCCAGAAGGTTTCAGGGCTAATCTCTGCATTTTCTTAGATGCTCAGAAAGTTCAAGGAGAATACTACTGCTTTTGGGGATCACCATGTCACTACTTCTACTACTTTCGCAATTCCTATTTTTTTTTCCCTCTAGGAATATTCATTAAAAAAAAAAAAAAAAAAAAAAAAAAAAAAAAAAAATGAGTCTAAGCATGAGTGGAAAACTTCTGGAGTGAACCTTGTTCGAACCATGGCATTAGTGAGCTGCACAAACAAATGAAGCCTTCTCCCTGCACTAAAAATCAGATGTTTAAAGACCTTTATCTAAAAACCACAAATGATTAAATCAATATTAACACAAATAAACTCTATTTATCTACAGTCCCCCATTTCATGTCAGTTCCTTCCCATATTTTCATTAAGAACCTGTCCAAAAGTTCCCCTACGGCCATGTCATTCATTTCTGCTGTCATGGTCTCAAGCCTCCTGTTCCCTCACATGCTCCTTCTTTTCACCAAGCCACTGAAGCACAACTCTTCCTCCCCACCACTATATTAGGGTTCTAATGCTATGTCACACTTACCAAGCCATCTTTCTGAAAGTGTCTCAAGCTACAAAAGCTTCCATATTTTGCCTCCTCCCACAGGTCTTAAATATTGAGCTGAACTTTGAACATCCAATTTTGGGATATGCAAAAATGTTCACAGACTAAAATTCTAGCTACATGCAATAGGAAAGGAGAATTGAGAAAGAAACCACATACTGTGACCTATTTCAACCGTATGTCTTGTGATACATTGATCAGGACTGAGATTTCCCTAGTTTGCTGATTTTGAATTATAAGCTCTGTTTAAGCACAAAGCACATCATTCCTCTCCTCTCCTCTCCTCTCCTCTCCTCTCCTCTCCTCCCCTCCCTCTTATTTTCCTGTAATAGCAAAACATTTCTGATGTACAAAAAGTGTATCTTTCAGGAGGAAAGTAAATTTTTCCTGCTTAAAAAAAAGCTTATAATTAGAAGCTGACTAGTTGCTATGGAATTGCTGCCAATTCACAAATAAATATACGTATTTATTACAAAATATACAGTCCTCAACTCTCCATACATTGCATACAATATTTATTCTACTTTGCAATGCTCCTGACCTTTGGTTTTTTTTTTGTTTTTTTTTTTCTGGCTTCTTCACATATGGTGGATGTGCAGGGAAACTGGAAATTTGCAGAATTAGACATACAGAACTCCCTTCCTTATCTGGACATATGTAATGTCACTGTTCTGATTTTAAACACCAGGCACTAACATAATGCTCGTGACCACAAGAGACTAACAGCACAAACAGTTTGCCCGCTCCGCTCTGGAGATGCAGTCTACTTGTGAACAGTACTTCCATAGGTTATTCTGGTGCTAAAACTCTCTGGAGCAAACTGTTAGTCTCTCTGCACCGTGTTGTGTTGCACTTTGGGTGTATCTACAAACATCCTCCAAGGCACAGAATGGGGAACATCACTTGAATGACTTTGAAATGAAAACCAGCTTGGATCCTCAAAATAAACAAATGAACATAGTGTGAAATGACCAAGTTTTTTCATCATTACAATACTAACCTCTTGCTATACAAGCTCTAGTTTTACAAACCATAGGAATGCAAGCAGCTGCGGAAACATAGCATTTAGCTAAATGCACGAGTAGCATTACCAAGGTTGAAGACCCCCGTTCAGTCCACCTGTAAGGCAGGTCACTGAGGCACCATGCCTGCTTCTGCCCGGCCATCCTGAGAAATCCCTGGAGCGAGACCTGTGTGCCAAGCACCAAATGCCAGGTGGACCAACTCTGGACTACCCTCTGTGATACAGCTTTTGGGTACCCCTTTCATGCTAGTAGCTCTTGCCCTGATATCTTCCACATAAACTCCTGCTTCAGGTTAAATACAAGTTAAGTACGTATTTTAATTAGAGTCTTTAAAATAACACGGGGTTCCCCTACATGAATATCCACATGCAGCTTATTCCTCCCCACCCCAGCAGCCTTGGCTCATCACTCATTTACCCCGCACAGCACTGCAGCAGCACACAATGGGGTTGGCTGCAGCTGTGAGGCTGGCAGAGAGATGCACGGCGATGCAGCCACTCCTCTGCCGGGCACAAGGCCTGGGAGCACATGGGGCAGTGCCCACACAGAGCACAGCCTCAGCCTGCCTCCTCTGCCTTCCCTCCTCCACAGTGTCCTTGGATTGAACAGGTGCCTGGTTTCCTTTCAATCTATCTCTGACTCCATTGCACTTTTTCAGCCACGCAGTTTTTACAGTGGAGCTATATATATATATATATATTTTTCTTTTGAGCTGATTTTTCTACTCACTACTTGCAGTGCTTGTCTTGCACACTGTGACTGCGTTTGGTACAATGTGGTTTAAAGGACCGTCAACACCGTGTAAGGTAAGAAAACGTGACAAAACACTTGAAAATATTTAAAAGACATGATCTCTGTGTAGCTCAAAACTTCTGCACGTGTACATCAGTGTGTAAGCCTCAGCACCCCTCGATGAACCTGGCCATGAAGCTCCTTTCACTGATGGCTCACAAACTTTGTCAGCAGATTTGGAGCACTCTGCAGCAGCCTCACCTGGTGCTGGTTTGATTTACAACTTAGCAACCTCTTTCTGTTACATCCAACCGATTTTAATAAAACAAGATTATTCTCATACTTCCTATCATCATCTTTCTTGTCCCAAGGTCAGCAATGCGGCTGTGTGTCTATTTGTGAACACTTCAATAGTGTTTTACTTGATTTTGTTTTTTAAACTAAGCTTAACCCAAATGAAGAACAAGTAAAAATATCAGACTCGCACGCAGGGTTTCAGAAACCTCATGGTTCTCCTGCTGTTTGGATGTGTGTGAATTACAGTACATCAGGAAATCAATATTCCCTAGATGGTGCTTGTGCCTGGCACTTCATGGTGAACAAACATTAGATAAGACAATATAAATGGTACAATCCTTATTGATTTCTCTTGACTGCGTAGAATGTGAAAGCTACTGCCACAGTTAACACTTACTGACAGACTCATCTAAAGTTTCAGTGCTGTTTTATATTTTTATAGTAGGCCATGCTCAATTGATTCCATTAAGTTGCTAGACACATTTCAAGCCGTTGAGATAAGAGAAAAAAAATGCAGTGCCTGGAATGAGATGCTGCTACTTTGTGCCTAGCAGGATAAAAAGGTTAAAGGACTAAATTGTGCCTGGATGTTGGAAGGAGTTCTCTTTTATTTGATAGAATTTGTTATTGTTTTTAGTGAATGGATACTGTGAGTGATGGATAGATGCATTTAACTACATTAAATAAATGTCTGAACAGTACAGACCAAGAACGTCTATGGGGAAACTGCACTGCAAGCTCCCAGTGTTAAAGCCTCTCCCGCCAAAACAAGCGAAAAACCTGGGGATTCCACCTCTGTCTATGATACAATTCCCTCAGGAAAAACAACACAGAGAAAAGTGGATTGGCTTTAAAATCTTGAATTTGGGATTTTTTATCTTCTTGTCTTCCTGCTTTGAATCAGGATCCACATTTTATATTGCCTTTGTACAGCAATTTACATCTT